ATAATTGTAAAATTTAAAACTGGGCTTCATGTTTCATAATTTCAATTTCTTCAAAAAATTAAGAATTATTAGAAGCCGTGACCCAAACAAATACACTATCAATCAATTTCTGTATGAGTCCCAAACAACAAGATTTATTTAACTTTCATCTTATATTCTTATCTGAGGAAACATTTTACATAAAACCATTCAGGTTCAGTCTCTTATAGTTATTTATTTATAGTTACATCCAGACAGGATTGAATATTTTTATTTATTTAACAACAGATATAGCCACCCTCTCATAAACCATGATGCTAGAACGAGTGCAATACATAAAAATAATAAACATCATAAACATTAAGTTTTATGTTGAGATGTTGAGAGAATCACTTAACATCACACAACCATCCTGTAGGGTCACCATAGGATTCTCAAGGTGGATGGAAAAACCAGATCTTAAGGACTTTCTGGCAGGCAACTAGGAATGAGACTGTTCTCACATCAGGGGGAATGATGTTCAGTAGGACAGATTCCACAGTAGAAAAGGCATGCCTCCAGAAATAATTCCTTAGTAGATAAGAACCACAACATACCATTCCTGTTCAGCCTGTTTTGACAGGTAGATATAACCAGGAAGAGGTGGTCCTTCTAATAATAATAATAATAATAATAATAATAATAATAATAATAATAATAATAATTGGAAGGCACCTTGGAGGTCATCTAGTCCAACCCCCTGCTCAGGCAGAAAACCCTATACCATTTCAGACAGATGGCTGTCCAGTCTCTTCTTAAAAACTTCCAGTGTTGAAGCATTCACAGCTTCTGGAGGCAGGTTGTTCCACTAGTTAATTGTTCTAACTGTCAGGAAATTTCTCCTTAATTCTAGGTTGCTTCTCTCCTTGATTAGTTTCCATCCATTGTTTCTTGTCCTGCCTTCAGGCGCTTTGGAGAATAGCTTGACTCCCTCTTCTCTGTGGCAGCCCCTGAGATATTGGAACACTGCTATCATGTCCCCCCTCGTCCTTCTCTTCGTTAGACTAGACATACCCAATTCCAGCAACCGTTCCTTGTAAGTTTTAGCCTCCAGTCCCCTGATCATCTTTGTTGTTCTTCTCTGTACTCGTTCTAGAGTTTCAACATTTTTTTTACATCGTGGTGACCAAAACTGGATGCAGTATTCCAAGGTTATTTCAAATAACCTTGTCCAATGCCATGTAGAGCTATAAAGGTCAAAAACAGCACCTTGATTTGCACTCAAAAACAAACTGACAACCAATGTATCTCATGGATAAGAGGTGTAATGTGCATGATCCCTGGATGCACATAACTGCCCATGTAGCCATATTCTGCACCAGATGAAACTTCTGGATATTTTTCAAGGACAATCCCATATAGAGTGCATTGTAGTATTCCATTCTAAAAGTGACCACAGCATGACTAACTGTGAGTAAAGCCTAATGGTCCAGGAAAGAATAACTGGTGCACAACATTAAGTTGCACAAAAGCCCTCTTAGCCAAGATTGCCACCTGTTCTTCAAGCAGGAGTTGTGATCTAGAAGGGTCTCCAGATTGTGCACTGGGTCTGTTTGGACAGTGTCACCCCATCCAGAACCAAAGAAAATAAAATCTCAGATCCAAGAATCTTTCCAGGAATCAGCTGAAAACTGTTGTTTCCCATTGAGACTCCTGAAACCTCCAGGCACTGGGAGATGTCTTCAGCACTATCACTTAATTTTCCCAGAGTGGAGAGGTATAATATTGACATAATACTGTAAAACTGGGATATTGAAGTAATGTATCTAATGTGTCATGGTATATTGATGATATCTCATCCAACGGCTTCATGTACATGTTAAATAGGAACAGAGACAATATCTAACTCTGGACCCCACAAAGAGACTAATAATGGGATCTGTCAGTCCCAATCAGCATGGACTGGTACTGCCCTAGCAGGGTAAGCAAATCAGCAGAATATACTGTCATCCACTCCCTACCTGGAGTGATCTAGAAGGATACTACGAGGAATATTATTGAAAGTCACCAAGAAGAACAAGGACAAATATTTGTGAATTCTAAATCATCCAGGTCATGGTTGTCCCAAAAGTGCTTTTTCCAAAAGGCAACTGGACTTACTTTTCTTTTTTGATGAACTGAAGAAGCTTCTAGGATGAGAAGTGAAATATTTCAAAGGAAAACCCCCCCAAGAAAGTCCAGTTGCCTTTTGGAAAAAGCACTTTGGGACAAGAGCAAGGGCAGGTGCACAACCCCTGCTGCCAGAGATCTTCCAAATGTGCCATACAACTATACAGCCAGTGCTTTCTCTGACCCATACCCAGGCCTGAAGCCTGACAGATAGGGATCCAAATAATCTGCTTCATCCAGGGACTGCTGTAACTTCTGTCCAACTATGTTCTCCATAACTTTTGTCCCAAAAAGAGTGGTTAGATACTGGAAAAAATTGTCCAGCAGTCAGATCCAAAAATGGTTTCTTGAGTAGTGGGCAAATTACCACTACTAACCCATCTATTAATTCATTCTTGCTGATAATATTTCTACAGCTTCAAAGGAAAACCTAGCTATTATAAATGTTGACAAAATTATTTAAAACTCCTTGAACATTAAACAGAATAACATTACTTTTAACAAGAAATTCATAAACAAGCCATTGTAATAATTAAATATTACATGAAACATTTAGTATGAAATAACATATAATTAAATAAAGACAATCTTTTGATAGGTTGGGCTATCAGTAGAGAATATATAAGGCAGTGTGCTGATCTACATCAGATATACAGCATGAATTTGAGGAGGGAAGCAGAATTGATTAAGGCCAGCCAGGTTTAATTTGTGTCTGCCTGTATTTAGCAGTTTAAGTTTCTTACATTCAGTTTGTTCAAAAGCATGATGAAGTAAGTGCTTCTCGCCTCTGTCTCAAATCAGAAATGCATGAAGTACAGCTGCAGAGATAATAAATTCCCCCCAAAGGCCTTGGCTGAGCAAATTAGGTGTCAATGGGGTGTCTGTGCAGGCAGTACTCTCTCTAATTAGTCTCTGGAGCCTGGTTGGTGGCTAGAATAAGATGATCTAATCAATTGGTCTGTGTCTGATGGTACGTGTAAAAATCCTACCAGGCAGAGCTGTCTCTCATAGGTCACTCACCTGCACAGCAGGATTACTCATTTTCATTTTTCATCTCTTCATCACATGATGCTGACAGTTGGTTTTAAGAAAATTATTTTTTTCAAAAAAACTGGTTCATAGGCCAATGTGGGTCAGAAAGAAGTTGTGTTATGTGATTGGTTATCTAATTCATTAATATGTGTTGGAAAAAACTTGCATGGAGTCAAAAATAAAATAATTTTCAATAGCACCAGAGATGACTTTAGTAAACTATCAGCAAAAATAAAATTACTATTGAGCATATCAGGCATAGTGGCATTTACAGTGAGCCTAACAGAATCTAATTGGTAGGCATATTAAATACAGGAGAAATGTGCCATGTATTTGTTATCAGTTGCTTTTTAAAAGAACAATAAAATGTGATTGCAGGATGCAGCAGTGGTACTAAGTAGGCCACATTGTGAAAGTCGTGGTGTGTTTTGCATGTTAACCCACTGGGACAGCCTTGCCCCATTCAGTTCTTCAGGAAAAAAAAAATATCCAGATAAATTCTGTTTTAGGAGCTATGGTTGTGCAAAAAGAGCTAGTAAACTCTAGTTCTAAAACATTTTTAAGTTAGTGGCAAATATTCTGAAATTAATGTCCCCTTCCCTTCTTATTACTTGAACTAATGTTAATATTTAAAATCAAATTTTCTCTCCATTTTGCACAATGACACAGCAGTATTTTAAGTATAAGATGGAGTAAGAAAATGTTTATTTAATTTGTGAGACAAAATGTTTTATTCTATAAAATGTATGTACATAGTTTTATAAATTGTCTCCCTATCCACTAGTAAATAAAAAATTATAATGTTATTAATGTACTATATTAAATAGACAAAATGAATTATGCATTGTGACAATACAGTAAGAAACTATATAAATACAGTGGTTAAATTGAACAGAAGAGGAAATAAACTTTGGAGGGGAAAATGTTCCATACAATAGCAGTATAAAATTAATTCAACCCTTATATTTATTATTAACTCTAGTTCATATAAAAATATATTTCTTCAGGCACTTGGGAATTTCTTACTTTTTTGGCAAAGCAGATAATGGGCTGATCTTGAAAGGATCAAATTTGATTACCTAGAAGGATCAAATTTCCAGAATGCAGTGGATCATATAGTGACAAGAACTTGCTGTTATTATATCATGACTCAACTGCTACCAGTTCGGATGCAGTTTAACATTTTTTTTTTTTTGCTTTAAAACTGAACCTTCAGAAGACCTGGGTATCTATAGGACTGTTCTCTCAGTACTTCTGCCTGCCCGATAGAATTGGAAATGGTGGACTCTGTTGAGATCTCTTCCATGAAGGAATGCCTGTTGTTGGGGGGATTTTTTGTTGATGTTTTTTGAAAAGAGTGTTCTTTGTGTGATTATATTGGTTCTCAGCACATTTTTTCCATAAAGTCATTAAAATCTGGCTTTTACAGAAAGTCTAATAATCATTTGGTGATGAAGGGAGCCTCCCTACTACAGAACGGAATGTTACAGCTTTCTTTGGTGGAGAATTGTTGCTTCAGTTTTATTTGATTTACGGCTGGATGGTTTTTATTTTAACATTGCGGGGGTGGTAGTGATTTCTGTGGTAAGTTATTTTACGGCTTATTGAATCAAGAGACACATAAACTATAGTTAATGAATAAAATATTGCTGTAAGTCTAGGGAGTTGGGCATTTGGCTTTGAAGAGAGGGTTGCAAATCTGAATCTTGTCCTTAATTTTTTTTATATAATTTTTAATGTTTATTTTGGTTAACATTAAAAGAGCAGGATACCATTGTTTTATCATTACTGAACAACCTTTCATCATAATGTTTACTGTAATTTCTGTTGTTTCATTATAGGAATTAAGATCACCAGACTAGAGGACAGAAAAATACAAACAAGATAGTCAACATTATAAAGGCACCATTATCTGCTTCCTTTGTTGGATTTCAATCACAAGAAAAATTATGCTGACAAGATCTGGTTCCCCACTCCTTCTCAGTTTATTTAAAGTACTGCACGTATTTTGATACATTGTGATTTGAGAGACATTTGTGAAGATTAAGCTATTTGCTTTATTGATATGTGGCATAATTGGCTTTTTTCTCTCAGTCTTTTGTGTTTGTTTTTATTGCTTTTAATTCACTGCGGTATAAATACTTGTGTGAAAATATTTTAGTTTCACCAGCAATGTCTTAAATATAGTAAGGCAACACCTTTCGTGTTCACAATTTTCTTTATATTATCTGTAGCTAAAAGACAGTCATGGCATGAAACAATGTATGTATTCATTGGGAAATCCCGCTCATTTTTCATTTATCAGAATTCTAAGCTGAAACAGGTAACAGGTTGGTTGTGAAAGTCAATGTCTTATAATTTTGCTCATTTTTTTATTGCTAGTAAATGTAATATTCTTTAATTTAACCATGGCAATAAATGCATCTTAGCTAGAATTTGGGTATTCTGCCTATGTTGAATAAAGTGGTATAATGGGCATATATATATTCAGATATTTTACACCCTTGTGAAAAAAGGGACTTAATGCTCTACTGTTTTTGTGATTATATTTTAACTTGTCCATACGTCTTGCTTCAACAACATTTTCTATGAAGGAAACTAGAGAAGATGAAGAAAAAAATGAGTTTACATTTGGAAAAGCACTATGACAGTGCTGAGTAACACTATGACTAGTTGCTGAATGAGCCATTAAAAATATTAGCCTTGAATAACCATCCAAATTTTGAATCCAAATTCAAAATACTTTTTTTTTCTAATCAAAGGACTCTTCCAGTTATTTTTATAAGGTATTAAGATGGTAGGGAGAAAAGCACTATATTATGCATCTCCATACAGCTGGTTTTCCTGTATAATTAGTAGATTGTTCATTAATAATGGATTGTTATTCTCCCTGTTCTAAAAGAGGGTGGAAAGGAAATGGAACTAGTGAAGGCAATGATTGGATTTGCCTACTACATACCACCCTAACGTGACTAGTAGAATGTTATCGTAGATGGGGAAGAACAAATTCCCCTGAAATAGTATAACAGATGCCTAAGAATATTCATTCATTCATTCATTCATTCATATATACATACATAGATACATACATAAATTCGATAATGGCATCTTAATACTTTTATAAATAAAATCTGGAAAACGGATATGTTTTATAGTTTGTGTTTGCTCTGTAAATTGAAAGCATGTTATTACTTGGATCTGGCAAATACTTGATTTTGCAAAATACTAATTTTTAATACAAGGGAATTTTTGTCAGTATGATTTTATTATTACACTATTCCCAACAATTATATAATTAAAATAAATGTTTCTGTCCTTCCAGAACCAGTTTTGCCACCTTTCTTTAAAACTTTATAGCCATGGAAACAAGTAATCAGAAAATCCAGTGAAACATTTTGGACTTAACAAAAATGCTTTAATCTTTATTTGTTTTCTGTGTGGTATTTTTCAAATTAAATCATATATTCATTTAATTATTTCAAGGTGACTTTCTAAAAAAAATCTCAGCACTGTAAATAATGGAAGAGGAAAGAAAATTAGAGAATTAAACAAAACTATCAAATGAAGATAGATTTCTGTAAATTCCTGCAATACCTTAAAGAGAAATGGAAACCATTTCTCTCTATGTTAAATATACAATGGTATCATGTAAAAAGTAACTCACTGAGTTATTTCCTTCAATGGACTAAATGCCTAGCACCTTATTATTCACAATAAATCAAATGTTTAAGACATATACTTAGATTTTTGTCTTTCAAAAATAGTTCTTAATGTCATTGAGATGCCAATCAACTAAAATATCAGCTCTTACAGACTGAAAATAATTATTGAATTTCACTTCTAATATAAATTCTTGATATAAAAGGATTGGAGGGGGGGGTTAGGATTTGAAGGCTGGCAATCCATCTGTTAAGAGTAGATTCATTAGTAATTCAATTTTCTCATCTTAATTAACCAACCAAGAAACACATGAAAAACAAAAAGGGAGTCATTGGTGGCTCCTTTTGCAACTTCTCCAAAGCACAATCACAACCCTTAGAAGTTAGTAGAACTAAAGCAATCTGCAGAAAATAAATCAAGATTTATTTTAGGTGATGTTTCAAAATTCAAAAGAAAGTAAGGGTTTTGGAATCATTGTACATGGAAGACAATATGTATAAAAACCAAATCCACACATTTTTCAATATCCTTTCTATTTTAGTTGCCCCTGTTCTTTTCTGTCGAATCCAGTGTAATTGTCTTTAGTATCAGTCCACACATATACACTAAAAAGAAAATGGTGCACTGGGAAAGAACCCTCTATTTTGTTTCTTAAAATTACTATATGGTTTTCCTTAAGGAACTAAAATTATGGGAAAAGATCAATTACTTGAAGTGGATAAATATAAGTTGGCTAAGTTTTATTATGGTTCTAATTTTAGTGACAGTGATGAGAAATTATCACTGGAATGTAAATAGAAAGAAGTATGTACCTATATTGCGATATCCAACATTGTGCAGTGCAATTATGAAACTGCTTGGGGGAAAAAAATCAGTGTTCTGCTCTTCTTTCTTCAAATCTATAATTTGGCAAATAGTAATTATACAATTTTATTTTCACCTTTCTTCTCTTTTAGCCTATAATAGAAACCTGCATAAGTGTTACCCTAAAGTATCTTCCAGGTTAGATTATAGTCAAAATATGGTTACTTCTTTCATCATGCCCTACATAGCCATTTCATTACTCTTATTTCTTTGCAGATCGGTTTAGGCAAAACCATGCAACTCTTATGTTGGAAATAGAAAGGCAATTCTGAATGATTCTGAACAATGCATAACAAGGAATTTTACATTTTGCAACTGTTTGTGATTGTGCATGGATTTTGCATCTAATACTTGTGCTTTTGACTACAACAGGAGTGTATGCTAACTCTAAAAGATCCTGCCATATCATTTGTACTTCCTATTTCTCCTAATTATGTAATGTTTATGACAACTCTGAGCCTTTCAGAATTTCAATAAGAGCCAAAATTTAGTACAGTTTCTTATCCACTTTTCTGGTACTTAATTCAAGATTACGTATTTTTAATTTTCAGTGTATATGTTGATTGTGACCTGGTATATATGTTACTGAAATACATATCTGCTGTTTTCCCATAATTGGGTTCCCTATTTTTCTAATAAGATTTGAATGATTAATTGGATGGAGTCTTAGCCCATTTGTAAATACTATGCAATCTAACCATTCCACATAATAGTTTCTTTGAAGTGCTATCGGAGTGGCCAAGGACTTAGTAGTGGAATATGACAGCCATGGAAAAAACAACCATGCTTGCATTGGACGTCTCTGGTTGGTATTAGAAGAAAAAATGCTTTCCAATACATCCAATTCTTTTAATTGAACTCCTTATTTTAGAAAGCTTCTCAATGAGAAGAGAGGGGATACTTTGAAACCTAAGAAGAGAAAATGATCACCTTACAACAAAAGATAAGAGGAACTCTACTATATGAGAAATGTAGAAATAGTTATAGAAAATTGGTCTACAGGGTTTTTGTTACCAATGTTACATTGGAAAATTGATTCAATATGACTCCCATCTGAACAGCTCAAATATGCAGAGCACCTGGGTCATTGCAAATAATGTATAAATTGTCTGTTAGAAATACGGTTAAACAAGCACAGGAAATATATAACAACGGTTGGGGAAGCTTTGGATCAGTCTTGCTTTCAATATGTAAATGACCTTTGAATAGATATTTCCAATTTTTTTGATTAATAAGAAATGTTGCCCCTCTCAGCAGTGAAGGCAATGTGATCTTTTGAATGTGTGCACACACGGACATAAATATATGGTGAATATAGAATATTTCTCAAAAATATATTATTACTGTTTTTCTAAGCTAATAGAATAAATGAGATTTGGACTGTACAGATTCATGTGGAATATGGAGACCATATAAATAGAAGTACATTCCATTCTTCACCAGATCATGACACAAATCTTCTTTTGACAAAAAAAGAGGCACTTATCTATGTTGTTGCCTTGCAGTATTTTTAGAGCAAAAACTGAAAGATTGCATTAAGATATTCCCTAATCTCAGAACAGGCAGTTCTGCAGTGCTACCTACAAAATTTTCCCTAGTTGAGATTCTTTATGTGCTCTTTTTAACAGGGGTTTGGTAATCAAATATTAATATTAAATACATATACATAATATAGCCACATACTTTAATGACAGCTTAGTCAGCAGTATGGTTGAGTAAATGTTACATTGTTTGTATTCAATGTGTAATTTGTCTTACTATGAACAATGTATGGTTTGTCAAGTGTCAACTGTTTTCATTTAATATGATACTTAATAAAGTGTAACAGGATTTTAATGTTCCATGTGATTTTTTTAAAAAACATGATAATTCAGAGGGGGGTTTTTAATGAACATGTTCTTATTCTATCTTAACATAATTGGCATAATTGGCAGCTTACATAGAAGAGATATAAATTAAAACATATATGGCAAAAATAAAGCAATTACTAACATAATAACAAAAGCAAAAACTATACAATATGAAATAAACGTAACTAATAGTAGAGATGGCAACATTAAGGAAAAGTTTTTAAAACAATTTGGTTTTCAAGAGCTTCTAAAAGATCAGCAAAGGGAAAAGCAGCCTGATCTTCCCCATCCAGAGACGCTGGGAACCAACAGCATATGAATTTAATAAATTTTAATTACCATCACCATAATCATCTCCTTATGAAGGCTCTTCTACAAGATTGACACTGCTACAGAAAAGTTGTATCACCTCACTTCAACTCCTCCCTTCTGAACTGCCCCAAAGTGCAGGATTTGCAGAAGATTCTCCCTGGAAAATAATAATTGGTCAGGCAGATATTCATAATAGGCAGTATTCCTGAAGATACCTATAGCCTTCTAAGATGCAGATTGTGCTACACTGATGTATTATATTCCCAATGCAAGGAAGGGGCTGCTGTATTTTGACCAACTGTAGTTTCTCAATATCTTTAAAAGCAACCCAAATAGGCTGCATTACAGTAATCTAACTGGAAGATGATAAGGGCAGGAGTTACATTGCAGTCAGGTTTTCTGTTCCAGGAAGACCATACCTATTGAAGCTAGTTCTGGCACAACCTCTACTTGCTGATCCAGCAGGATCTGTGAGCCCAGAAGGTCCCTTAAGTGGTGAATCTCCCTGATGCATAATACCTGCCCATCAAGGAATATCTCTGGCAGCGACAGAGGACTATGAGCAACTTCTTTTTTCCAAGGATTCAAGTTCAGCCCATTTTCTCACATCTGGATGCTGACAGCTTAGGTACACCAGGAAATGGCAGTGACAGCCTTCCTACTCTCCATAGCCTGGGGGAAAGTTGTAAAATTGAATATCTTCAATGCCTAGATGACATAAACTATTTGAAGATTACTATGAGAGATAAAAAGCAAAAGCTTTATGCTTAATGTTTGTGTTTAATTGAGAAAAGTAATTTTAAGTGCATATAGTAAAGCATAATGTTTGGATTTCAATTGATGGTAAATCCCATTTCAGGCTGACAAATGATGTTTAGGTTCCAAAATAAAATGTGGTCAAACGTAGAAATGCAATGAAAATTCAATTTTACATCAAATTAAAAAATTATCAGTGACTTTAAGCACAAATAAAGACAGCCCTAAAAACAGCAGTTTTTTAGCCAAAGGGGTATTTTGGTTTCAGTTTGCTTCTTTCTGTCTAATACCCCCCCCCCCATTTATTCTTAAGTGGCCTGGTTGCTATTGCACTTTAGCTATGATAGTTTTGGTCCTCCCCAAAGAAAGTTAATCCTCAGGGAAGGAATTTGTGGTCACTAGGTTAATACGGTTTTGGAGAATAATGGCCATCGTCAGTCCTAGCAGAATGATTCACAGTCTGCTACTTACTACTAACATAAGTTTGTTTTAGGGCATTAGCTCTGAGAAGCTTATATTGCATCTTTTACTGCATAAAAGTGATAAAAAATAAAAGGTAGAAATCAGGACACCACTGATGAGCCTCTTTATTTAAAAAAACACATATGGCATACACACACACACACACACACACACACACACAGAGAGAGAGAGAGAGAGAGAAATTATGGCCAAATATTTACCATTTTCCTTGTGAACAATGTTTGTATCATGTCTATTGGCAGCTATTCATACTGAACACAATAGTTGAAGACACAAGTCCCATCATGTACTTTTCTCAGAGATTCCAAGTAGGATATGCTATTCTGCAAAAAAAGCCAGAGATTTGTGATTATTCAGGCGCCTAATATTAGTATTCTTGTTAGTTTTTCAAGGACAAAAGTGTGATTGGAAAGGACATGAGAAGAAATCTTTCTTAACTAGTTGGCATCCCCACAAATCTTTGTAATGTGGAGAACATAGCTCTCCTTGCATTCTGCTGTAAACTTTGATGCTCAGATTTAGTGCAGCTTAACTCTATTTTTATACATCCTTATCATTAAATGTAAAAAGTTTAACTGTGAATGGCATCCTTCCTTACTCAGGTTCTGGGTGAAATTGTTGCTGAAAACAAAAGAGGATGCTCAAATTCAACACAGCCACTCGCTATGTACTTCACTGCAATGCCAGACAGTTCGAGTAAAAGGTTTTTGTTTAAGACTGCCCTACTTCAGACTCAGATGGATTTCAGTTTCCTTTGAATATTGTCAGCAAAAAGCTTTTTCTGCACTTGCTAGGTAATTCCAACAATAGTAAAATTCTAACTTTCGGAAGTTCTGTGTTTGCACTGATATTAGCACCAAAGCAAAAATGTGAGTTGACTAATCCAAACTTTTTACAGATCTGAGGTGGGAATGAAATGCAGTTCAAAGGCAATAAATGGGGTCCTCAAAAAAGATGCAGGAGCAGAGAATGAACCTGCATCAGTTCTGCCTCTTATGTACTTGGGCAAGATATTGTGACATCTCTGCTTATAAATATAATCCTCAATTACTGACTACCTTGTTCAGCATGTCAGTACTGAAAAAGACTTGTAACTGATCTACAAGTTTGCAGCAATTGCAGCATCCCAACAGTTATGTGATCACAATTTTGTACTTTGCAACCAGTATGCATTGACAACAACCACTCTGTGTCTTGGAGTCACATGATCACAATTTGAAAACTTCACAGCCAGCTTCAAACAAGCAAAACCCATGGGGAACCCACAAGAATTGCAAATCACAGTCACAGGATATAACAATTAATGGTGATTTGCTTAACAACCGCAGTAGAACTAACTTGATACGTCTGGTGCAGTCACATGATGCTTCACTTCATGACCACATCACTTAGTGACAAAGTTCTTAATTCCAATGTAGTTAGTAAATGAGGACTACATATACAAGAGTAAAAGTTGTGCTATGTCTTCATAATACATCATTTGGCATATGATGCTTGTGAAGAAATAGTTAAGAAGACAATATTTAGAGACAGGTCTAGATCAGGGCTTTTCAACCTTTTCACCCATTGTACCACTTTTAGGATATGGCAACATCCGAATACCACCAGTCGCCTAGCAAGGTGTCAAAAACTTGATGACCCAAAAAACAAAAAAGGGAAAAAAGTGATAAAGTACAGGTAGTCCTCGACTTACAACAGTTCGCTTAGTGACTGTTCGAAGTTACAATGGCACTGAAAAAAGTGCCCCCCAAGCCACAGCTGAGCAAGACACCTGCCTGCCTGCCCGGCAGCGCTCTTCCTTCTGTCCAAGGTTTTCATTGTTGTGAGCATTTCTGTTGAGGATTGGAAGTGGGGATGGGGTGGGGGGTGTTTGGTTTTTATTCCCCTTGTCTGCTGGGTGGTTGCAGCAGGTTTGATTACTTCACATGACCTTGGGACACTGTGACTGTCATAAATATGAATCAGTTGCCAAGCATCTGAATGTAAATCACAAGACCCTGGAGATGCTGCAATATTCCAGCTGATCGGTGGTTCTTCTGGGCTGAGCAGAAGTGCCAGGATCAGTGCTGCTTTCCAGCTAATTGGTGCTTCTTCTGGGCTCAGCAGAAGCATCAGGATCAGCACCAAGCTCCAGTTGGAGCCCGATGCTGATCCTGGCACTTCCACTGAGCCGTGACAGCCCCAAAGAAGTGCCGATCAGCTGGAAAGCGGCACTGATCCTGGCGCTTCCGCTGAGCCCTGCAGCTCCAGCCATCTCTCGCTCAGGCTTATGCGGTGCTGCCACCAGTTCAGCTCATTCTCCTCCCCCGCTACCACTTTTCTAGGATGGTCGTGTACCACCTTCCAGGTGTCAATGTACCACAGGTGGTACCCGTACCACTGGTTGAAAAGTCCTGGTCTACATAGCATTTAATTTATATAGCTATAGCTTAGGCTAAACTACTAAGATTGCTAAGGATGTAAAATCCTTAGATATGGTGAATTATTCAGCAGGTGAATATTATGGTATTAATTCACCCTTGGGATATTTTCCAATAACCTAATTGCTAGTATCTCCTATTTGCTTCCTATTTATATAAAGTCCTTATACAGAGAACTCAGACAGAAACGTTCAGACCTACATCACATGTCTTTTTGCTCAGTTTCATAATCAACTAAGATAAAGGGTCTCTCATTCCCACTTACTGGCTGGTACACCAAATGTAGTACTTAACACTGCAGCTTAAAATGTATCTCATTGAAGAGTAGTAAAGTAAAATTGTAAGCACGGAAGTGAGAAAACAATCATCTTGCATAATTATGGGGTTCTCTTCTACCAGTGATACAGCCATCCTTACACTCCAGACCCTGCAGAGCTAAATCAAGAAGCTTCCCAAACATATATGGCAACACTTGTTTACACATGTCTACATGGAGGGAGGTGTGAAGGGGGAAACATCTCATTGTCAGAGGCCTAGAGTTCTTCAGCATTTTTATAACTGTCTCAGATTAGAAGAAAAAGGAATGCTTTACAATTGATGCAAAGCTGGAATTGGGGGCTTCTAACAGTTCAAAAGAGAAGCTCAAGGTCAAGTGGATCTTGATAGACTTGAACATTGGAGCTACCCAACAAAACACTATTCAATAGAAAGAAAAAAAAGTAAGGTTCTGCATTTAGATATTAAAAAAGAGGTGCACGGGGGCAAGATAGGAATGCTTAGAACTTCAGGCCAAACATGATACATTTGATGGATTATATTGTGGGGAAGTGTCCAGTTTAATCCTATTGTTTAACTACATGCACTTATAGTGATTGTCAACAACTTTGGAGTAAATAAAAGAAAATCAGAAATTCTACCTCTTGTGGAATTGTATTAGATTATGGCTGATAATATTTTGTTCATTTTTCTAAACTGAACTTAACCCAATTATTTTATTCTGCAGTATTTTGTGGAA